GTCGTGCTCATGTTTGCTTTCCAAGCAGTATTGGCTTGGAAAGCAACACTCTCCAGTGTGAGAGTTATTAGTGCTGGTGTTTCTCTGCCGGCTGGATTATATTGCCACATAATGAGGTTTTGTTTGACGCACTGTAATGGAGTTGACGCTGAAGATCATTCCAGACGTCTTCTGATCCGGTCTGGGTATCGATGTCACATCTGGAAGTGCAGAACTCATTTATCTGTGCGTAATGTGTGAATGAGAACATTAATGTGTGAATTACATCCCTGAGAGATTCGACAGCCGTCAGGAGACGAGGAAACCCGTCAGGCGCTCTATTGGTGGAGTTCTTCATTCTGATTGGTTGACAGACTTCCCAGGTGTTGATTAATGAAGTGCAGGTTTATTGACTCGGGATGTGATCTTTATTTCTACAGCGCTTTACACAGTACTGATTGTTTTAAAGCAGATTCACAGTGAGAACTGGAGAATAACAGAATTCAATTGAGCTGTAAATTTACAGTAAACGGTCCATTTGATGATTTAATGAGTTTAATGATTAGATTTGTTTTCTTTCAAAGATGCATTAAATAATCAATCAAAACTATTATCATTTAGCCTACCAGATTTAATACTTTAATACTAGATAGAAATACTTCTCTGTAAAAAACGCCTCTGAGAATAATGCGTTAGTGTGTGATATCTAACTGGCTTTTATTTTATTTTACTTTTTTTTTTTTTTGTATATATATTTTATTTTGTGTTGTGTTATTTTATTTTATCCTATTTTATTTTGTGTTGTGTTGTTTAATTTTGTTCTATTTTATTTAATTTTATTCTATTTTATTATTTTATTTTATTTATTAAAAACTTTTGCGTTGTGTTGTTTTATTTTATTCTATTTTATTTCATTTTGTTTTGTTTTATGTTGGGTTGTTATTTTATTCTATTCTATTCTCTTTCATTTATTTATTTATTTATTTTATTTTTATATATATTTTATTTTGCATTGTGTTTTATTTTATCCTATTTTATTTTATTTTGTGTTGTGTTGTTTAATTTTATTCTATTTTATTTCATTTTATTATATTATATTTTAGTTTATTTTATTTTATTAAAAACTTTTGCATTGTGTTGTTTTATTTTATTCTATTTTATTTCATTTTGTTTTGTTTTATGTTGGGTTGTTATTTTATTCTATTCTATTTCATTTATTTTATTTTGTCGTGTTTTATTTTAGTTTGTGTTGTGTTATTTTATTCTATTTTATATCATTTTATTTGATTTTGTTATTGACAATAATGAACCCACATTAATTAAAAGCATACCGATTTCTCCCTGCTTTTATTAGATGGTTAGAGTTATTAAATGAAGCGGTCGCAAATGCTGTAAGTGTTTCTCAGAAACATACGCACCTATTAATATCGTTTACCTGCGGTTACCCTGGTTACCGCAGACACCTGTGTTGCTATGGTTACAGATGTTGTGAGTGATTAAGCAGTGGGCGAGTGAATCAGCGAGAGCTAATGCTGTCGAGGACGAGTCCATCATTCTCTCATGATCCTCAGCGTATCGATCTGTCAGCCGGAGAGTTCTAGATCAATACATCTGTTAATCACTCGTGTGATCAGCTGACATCTGAAACTGACGAAAGGTCAGACGCTTCGCTCCAGCGTTTCTGAGGACTCAAGCGCACACCGATGGATTCTTCATGTCCATATGATCATTAATGCATCATTCAGAAAGCGTAGAAATCGAATATCTTTTCATATCAAAACTGATCGCACTTGCACATCAACTTTTCCTGGTCTCTCGCTTTTAATGCATTCATTTTATTTTATTTAGATTATTTCTATAGCTTCAATTGTTTTATATCTTTTTTTTTTCTTTTTTTTATTAGCTGATATCACGAATATAGAAATAATTAGTTAGGTGTGTGAACTCACATTCATTAAAGGTAAAAAATACCTAACTTGCATTTTATTTATTTTATTTTTTATTTATTTTATTTTATTAAAACACTTTTAAGGAAGCTTTAAAAGTTAATTGTAACTATCATATGGCCTATTACTGTAAACATTTTTGGACACATATTTTAATTTAAATTATTTTAATTTAATTATTCTTCTTGTTTGTAAAAAAAAAAAAACTCTTAAAATGTTTACAAATACTCTTTTGGAAAATGAGTCAGTTGTGTGAACTTAAATATTACCTTATTTTATTAAAAAATTTTCATTTTATTTTATTTTGTGTTGTGTTGTTTTATTTTATTATTTTATAAGAAGCTCCAAATAATTAATTGTAACCTGTATCATTATTCTACCGCCAAAATCTGTTTGTAAAAATACTTTAAATATTTAATTAACTTTTGAAAGTAATGATTACGGTGTGAAATATCTAACTTTTTTTAATCACTTTTATGCAAAGCATAAATCTGCTTCATAACTGCAGTATTTACTGACATTTAATACTGAGTTCCCTAATATTTCTAAAATATCTAATATTTAATTTATGTGCTGCAAGTTAATTGTGCAATGACAATAAAAGCATTCTCATTTTAAATAAACATGCATTACATAAATAAATAAATAAAAACCTTTCCATATTTAATCAGTTATAAAATATAAATGTGGTAGAAGTGGCTTGATGCGGTCGCGAGCCGGACTCGAACCTGAGCTCTGATCACAGGCTGTTTGTGTCTCAGGTGAAATGCTGTAAATACTGGCCTGACGACACCGAGATCTACAGAGACATCAAGGTCACGCTCATCGAAACACAGCTTCTGTCCGAATACGTGATCAGAACGTTTGCAGTGGAGAAGGTGAGGAACACACACTCTTTACAAACACACTCTTACAAACACACTCTTACAAACACACTCTTACAAACACACTCTTACAAACACACCTCACAAACCACCCTTCACAAACACCCCCACTCACAACCCACCCACAACCCCCCTTACAAACCCCACCCACAAACACCCCCACAAACCCACACACCACAAACACACCTCACAAACCCCCCCTTACAAACACACCTCACAAACCACCCTTCACAAACACCCTTCACAAACACACCTCACAAACACCCACACTCACAAACACACCTTCACAAACACCACCCTCACAAACACACCCTCACAAACACACCTCACAAACCACCTTACAAACACCCCTTCACAAACACACTCTCACAAACACACCCTTCACAAACACACCTTACAAACCACTCTTACAAACACTCTTACAAACACTCCTTACAAACACACCCTTACAAACACACTCTTCACAAACACACCCTTACAAACACACTCACCTCAAACACACTCTCACAACACACCCTTACAAACACTCCTTACAAACACACTCTTACAAACACACTCTTACAAACCCCACACACCTCACAAACACACCTTCACAAACCCTCTTAAAAACACTCTTACAAACACTCTTACAAACACTCTTACAAACACACTCTTACAAACACACCCTTACAAACACACCCTCAAAACACACCTACAAACACCACTCTTCACAAACACACCCACAAACACCCTTCACAAACACACTCTTACAAACACACCTCACAAACACACCTTACAAACACACTCTTACAAACCCCCACAACCCCCTTACAAACACACTCTTACAAACACACCTCTACAAACACACCTCTTCACAAACACACCTTACAAACACTCTCACAAACACACTCTTACAAACACTCTTACAAACACTCTTACAAACACACTCTTACAAACACCCTTAAAACACACTCTTTACAAACACACTCTTACAAACACACTCTTCACAAACACACTCTTTACAAACACACTCTTCACAAACACACTCTTACAAACACACTCTTCACAAACACACTCTTACAAACACACTCTTCACAAACACACTCTTAACAAACACACTCTTACAAACACACTCTTTACAAACACTCTTACAAACACACTCCTTTACAAACACACTCTTTACAAACACACTCTTTACAAACACTCTCTTTACAAACACACTCTTCGTAAACACACTCTTTACAAACACACTCTTCGTAAACACACTCTTCACAAACACTCTCTTTACAAAAAAAACTCTTCTCAAACACACTCTTCTCAAACACACTCTTCACAAACACTCTCTTTACAAACACACTCTTCTCAAACACACTCTTCACAAACACTCTTCACAAACACACTCTTTACAAACACACTCTTCGTAAACACACTCTTCACAAACACTCTTTACAAACACACTCTTTACAAACACACTCTTCTCAAACACACTCTTTACAAATACACTCTTTACAAACACTCTTCGTAAACACACTCTTCACAAACACACTCTTCTCAAACACACTCTTCACAAACACTCTTTACAAACACACTCTTTACAAACACACTCTTCTCAAACACACTCTTTACAAATACACTCTTTACAAACACTCTTCGTAAACACACTCTTTACAAACACTCTCTTCACAAACACACTCTTCACAAACACACTCTTTACAAACACACTCTTTACAAACACTCTTCGTAAACACACTCTTTACAAACACTCTCTTCACAACTCTACAAACACACTCTTCACAAACACACTCTTTACAAACACACTCTTTACAAACACTCTTCATAAACACACTCTTTACAAACACTCTCTTTACAAACACACTCTTTACAAACACTCTTTACAAACACTCTTTACAAACACTCTTCATAAACACACTCTTTACAAACACTCTCTTTACAAACACACTCTTTACAAACACTCTTTACAAACACTCTCTTTACAAACACTCTTTACAAACACTCTTCGTAAACACACTCTTTACAAACACTCTTCGTAAACACACTCTTTACAAACACTCTTCGTAAACACACTCTTTACAAACACTCTTTACAAACACTCATGCTTTAAAGCAACTCAAGCTTTTAAAGTCATGAAAGAGAAGATTCGCTAGTTTTTCTTCCCTATTGTGCCGTATATCTGACTGACTGACAGATAGATAGATAGATAGATAGATAGATAGATAGATAGATAGATAGATAGATAGATAGATAGATAGATAGATAGATAGATAGATAGATAGATAGATAGATAGATAGATAGATAGATAGATAGATAGATAGATTGTGTCTGTGAGGAATTGATTGGATGGTTGTGGTTTGCTATTGGCTGATCTCGTGTGAGTGACAGGTTGCCCCGCCCACATCATCAGAGAAGAGATGTTGCTGTTATTCTGATTGAAGATTAACTTGAGTTGAACACAGTAATGATGTGCGTGTGTGTGTGTGTGCGTGTCTGTGTGTGTGTGTGCAGCGAGGAGCTCACGAGATCCGAGAGATCAGTCAGTTCCACTTCACGGGCTGGCCGGATCACGGCGTGCCGTATCACTCCACGGGTCTCCTGGGATTCATCCGCCGGGTCAAAGCCAAGTCCCCGCTCAACGCCGGGCCCATCGTGGTCCACTGCAGGTGTGTGACATCATCACCGTCTGCAGTCACGTGACATCATCACAGTCTGCAGTCACGTGACATCATCACCGTCTGCAGTCACATGACATCATCACCGTCTGCAGTCACATGACATCATCACCGTCTGCAGTCACATGATCCGCGCGCTATAAACTCAGCTTTAATTCTATAGCGCTTTATACAATACTATTATATTATAATATATTAATTGTTTTATATGATATTATATTATATTATAACAAAAATTCTGACATCATGTGAGTGAATGTAGCATTTATTTAGCATCCCAGACGCTTCCACATTGTTGCTTTTAATTGTATGTTTTCCTCTGTTGACCTGGATCTGTGTTGTGATTGGCCGGCTGACAGCGCGGGGGCGGGGCGAACCGGCTGCTTCATCGTGATTGACATCATGCTGGACATGGCGGAGCGCGAGGGCGTGGTCGACATCTACAACTGCGTGCGGGAGCTGAGGTCACGCAGGGTCAACATGGTCCAGACCGAGGTATTGCTGCTCACACCACACCGAATGTTCTGATCCAATCCGGCCAAAAATATTACCGATCCAAAACTTTTGACTGGTGGAGTGTGTGTGTGTGTGTTTAGATGTGATAAACACATGTTTCTGACTCTAGGGTTTGATGTGTAAACACCTTCTCATCTTATTAGGATCTGGATGATAATGTTCTTAATGTTCTGATCCAATCTGACCTCTGACCTGTAATGCTGCCTGAAGCTTGTTTATGTGTGTATATGGTGTTTTTAATACGCTTTAAGACACACCATGTGTAAGTTCATAAGTCGACAGCATTGCTGAGTATTTCCTCCTTAAAACTGCAGTGAACCAAAGACAGTCTCAAAAACACGGTTTGAAATCGCTGGTGTTTCTGACGTCACAAACGACCTTGTAACCAATCAGATCAACGTGTGATCGTCAACCAGTGGATCTCTGAGCTGAGGGAGTGAGTGGAGGCGGGGCTCATTTGCATATTCATAGAGCCGCGCATAGTAAATAAGGCGAGGGTGTCGAGTTACATTCAAGATATTTTAAGGCACGAAGACATGTTTTGCTAGCAAAAAAACATGGTGATCGGAGATGAGTTTTAAGGAATTAAATTATTGACTACAGGAGGACTTCCAGTAAATGGATCTTGATTTTTGAATGTTTAGATATTTGTGCTGGAAAACAAGAGGAAAAACATGATCTTTTGCAGTGCAGTTCGGTTTTATTCTCTTCACCTGTGGCGTCTTGCCTTAAAAACAGAGATAAAAATAGGCATGAATGAACAAAGAGGCTTTTAGAACAGAAAAGCTTTACGTCGCTGGAGTCCTGCTGATCCTGCATGCCGAACACGCCGCCGCTGTTTAACCTGTTAGCATCTCAGCAACACACACACTTCCCCTTATAAGAGCGCGAGTGTGTTCGAGAGAGGAAAGGAGATTATCGTGATCAGCTTTTACAACTCCTGACGGGTTTCTGTATCCTTGTGATGAAGATCTCACTGTAATCCCGCTCACAATGGCCCTCATTTATCATTCTTCCGTAGAAACGGGCGTATATGTTGGCGTTAGATTATGCTTACACTCCTCTCACCGCCTGATTTATGAAGCTGTGCGTACCTTTGAAATCCAGGTGTACGCATGCGCCTGCCCTTGATAAATCCCGCGGCTGAAAACGATCGTCATTAGAATAACACGCCCCTATATATTCAAGTCTCCGCTTCCCCCACGCCCTCATTTTACGCCATGGACACACGGAAGACGGCACAGAAGAGAAACTTCTCCGACGTGGAGCCGAAATGACCTATCACAATGCAATATTTTACGGCACGTCTTTTGAAACAATTAGCATTCAATTTCGAATCGCGTCACATGTATTGGGGTGTACAATAGTGACGATGATGATGTGATGTGGAGTACCATTCATTCACATTAATAATTGCATGACAATTTGTAATATTCTTCTTATTATTATGATTTTTATTATTAATGACGCTTGTTGTTATTTAGAAGAAGAACGTCGTTATTATTATTTATTTGTATTATTATTATTATTATTTAAAAGAAGAAGAATGTATTTTTTATTATTTTGTCAGTCTGAATTATTTGTTGGTCATTGAAAGCCTTTCGTTACCGAACCCAGTCCGTGCGCACCTGCCGGGCCTAACCATGAAACGTCAGGGTAAAGCACACAGGCTCGCAACTGAAGGAATACATATGGCTACAAATCAAATGCTTTGGTAAAGTCACACAAATTAAACATTGAAGTCCATGTTGCACAAAAATAAACACTGAAGTTTATAATTACTATGTTGTTGTTGTTGGTCATATTATCATGTCTTGCAGTTTGTCAGTGCGTTTTGTGGTGTTAGGAATTGTTTTTCTGCGCATTTCCGCACTAACTCAAAACGTGCGTACACCACCTCCTGAGCTGGCGTAGGATTTGAGCGTGCCGTACGCCAACGTCCATATTGATAAATCTCAAAGTCACCGTGGGTTTGGGTGTACGCCAGGTGTAGCCTACGCTGGAAATTTGGTGTACGCACTTTTGATAAATGAGGGCCATTGCGTTTAATATTTTACTTCTTTTTTTTTACTTCATCGGAATGGTACGAAACTTGGTAAAGGTTTTGGCACTTGCTGTGTGAACACACACACACACAAATGCATGAACATGATGTGAACAGGTTAAACGGTCCTGTAAGCAATAGTCACTTGTGCTCCTCGCGGTCAGAAACGAGCGCATTGGAAATGAATGAGAGACGAGTTTCCTCTAGTGGAAGCGTTTGGAACTGCAGCCGAACAACATCTCACTGGAAGATCATTCACTGAGAGATCAGACTCACATCTGGAGCACAGCTGGCTTAGGTTTATGCCTTTGATTTTCTCGCAGTTTTAGAGTAAAACAGGTTTTTTAAAATACTTATTTCATATAAAAATTGAAAATAGTATTTTTGTGCATTTTTCATAACAATAAACGTAAAATTCTGTAACTTTTTTTAAGTTCACTTTTTAAAACTTTTTCCACTTCAGCAATAATCTGCCGAGTGTCGTCTTTAAACAGAGATCAAACTTCAGTCTGTCGCTCTAAAGCATTCAAGATTCACCACAGTTTGGAAAGTTGGAAATGAAACAGGTCTATGCTCAAAAAGTGTATAAATGGATTACGAAAAAGGCATAAATATAAGTTAGTACCATAAAATCCCCTAAAAACACCAAATATTAAGTTGGAAATGAATTTTTTTAGGTCTACGCTGTAAAAAAGTGAATAAATGGATTATAAATACAGCGTATAAATATAATTTAGTGTTTAAAAAATACAAAATATTAAATAAAAAACATTATCAAACTAAAATATAGTACATTCCTTTCATTGACAAAAAAAAAACCTTTGCGAAGAGATGACATGATTCATAGATGACGTCTGGATTGGTATTTGGGAACGTTTGCCTGATTCATCCTCCTTAAGTTCAGTGACCTTCAGAGGCGTGTGTGTGTGTGTGTGTGTGTGTGTGTGTTTCCCTCACAGGTGTTTTGGCACGCTCTCTCGCCCTACGGGAACTTGTTACCTTCTTACACGCTCGTTTGAACCGTCACTGATCATTTGTGAGGACGATGGTGAGCGTTCGCTCATTAGAGGAGCTATTCGTTCTCAGGCACCGAAAGGTCAAAGGTCACAGCAGAGCCTAATCAGCGACGCAATGACCCCGTCCTCACAATCTAGTCACCAGTGACAGGCCAAGATGGTTTGGAAATGTCACTTCAGCAGTGATTTCCATCAAACGGCTCGAGTCGCTGAGGCGAAAGCTTGCGATCTGAAAAGTGAGATGCTTTGATGATTCCCTGCTAATAAAGTTTGATGTTGTTTCTGCCTCACGCCGGCGAAATCCCTCGTGAAACAAATGAGTGCAATCACAGTGGCATCTGCATTTTCAACGCTGACAAATTCCATGAATACAAAACAGACGAAGGATGTTGAGAGACGTGGAACCGGCTCAGCGATGAGCAAACCGCGCATTAGCTGCACACACTCATTTACACAGACGTGTGTGTGTGTGTGTGTGTGTGTGGGGGGGGTGTGTGTGGGTGTGTGTGTGTGTGACGTGCACGAGTTTTGGGCTCAGTGAGATGTTTTAATGCTGTTGAAGGAAGCCTCACCAAGCCGGATCAAAATATCATATCAATAATCAATAATGTAAATCAGCTGTTTTCTATGTGAATATATAAAGTGTAATGTAGATTTTCAGCATCATTACTCCAGTCTTCAGTGTCACATGATCCTTCAGAAATCACTCTAATATGAGGATCTGATGCTCAAGACACATTTATGATTATTATCAAATATTATTATCTAACATTGAAAGTTCAAAAGAACAGCATTTATTGAAAATAGAATCTTTTGTAACATACATGTCTTTACTGTCACTTTTGACCGATTTAGAGCGTCATTTATTACTTCTTTGAAGATTAATAATTATAATAATAAATAGATCATTTCTGAGGCCAAATGTTCGAATCCTTACAGATGTTGTTGCAAGTAACAACAATTAACATAAATACTGACATTTGAAATGAACAATGAGTAGAACAATTGACTTTGTACGAGTATTGACATTTAAACGGATAATACATAAATTATTAAATAAAATAGAAAGGAAAAAAAGAAATAACTTTAGTTTTGACTCGAGTAAATCTCCTTTAAACATGTTCTTGCTCATTTCTCAGGAACAGTACGTCTTTATCCACGATGCCATTTTGGAGGCGTGTCTTTGCGGCGACACCACAATCCCAGCCAATCAGCTTCGCTCTGTTTACTACGACATGAACCGATTGGACCCTCAGACCAACTCCAGTCCAATCAAAGAGGAGTTCAGGGTGAGAGACGGCTCGAGCTCTAACTGCTCTTATCTTTACTAAAAACGCCATTTCACGGCTCATGTATTGTTTGTACCCGGTGTGCGAGCTGAAGATATGAAAGAGTGTGTTACTGTGATTCGGCTGCTTTGATTTGATTTTACAAAGTACTCTGGTGGGAAAAAGGGGAAATATGAGCGTTTGTATCCATGTGTGATGTGAATATCACATATCGCAATATTCTGCTGAGAGACTGAATCAGTTTCAGCCGTTTTATAAATACATCATCAGCATTATTAGATATTAGGCACTGATGGACACAGAGAATATCAGTTTATTCTTCTGTTCAAACCACAAACTCTGTTTCTACAGCAGGTTTCTTTTCTTATCCATCTATCTATCTATCCCTCCATATATCTATCTATCTATCTATCTATCCCTCCATATATCTATCTATCTATCTATCCCTCCATATATCTATCTATCTATCTATCTATCCGTCCATCCATCCATCCTTCATCTATCCATCCATACATCATCCATACATCCATCCATCCATCCACCATCCATCCATCTATCTATCTATCTATCTATCTATCTATCTATCTATCTATCTATCTATCTATCTATCTATCTATCTATCTATCTATCTATCTATCTATCTATCTATCTATCTATCTATCCATCCATCCATCCATCCATCCTTCCATCCATCCATCCATCCAACCAACCATCTATCTCTAACTTTACTTATCTAGTTATAATTCAATATAATTTTGTTTTGTTGACCACAATTGTTGATAATTGTTGACAGGAGCACTTTTAATAAAAAAATAAAAAAATTTAACTATTGGTCAGTATACACAGTTCACCGTTAATGTGTGTGTGTGTGTATGTGTGTGTGTGTGTGTGTGCGTCCATGCGTGTGTGTGTGTGTGTGTGTGTGTGTGTGTGTGTGTGTGTGTGTGTGTGTGTGTGTGTGTGCGTGTGTGTGTGTGCGTGTCTGTGTGTGTGTGTGTGTGTGTGCGTCCATGCGTGTCTGTGTGTGTGTGTGTGTGTGTGCGTGTCTGTGTGTGTGTGTCTGTTCGTGTGTGTGTGTGTGTCTGTTCGTGTTTGTGTGTGCGTGTGCATGCGTGTCTGTGTGTGTGTGTGTGTGTGTGTGTGTGTCCATGTGTGTCTCTGTGTGTGTGTGTGTGTGTGTGTGTGTGTGCGTCCATGCGTGTCTGTGTGTGTGCATCCATGCCTGTCTGTGTGTGTGTGTGTGTGTGTGTGTGTGTGTGTGTGTGTGTGTGTGTGTGTGTGTGTGTGTGTGTGTGTGTGTGTGTGTGTGTGTGTGTGTGTGTTGACAGACTCTGAACATGGTGACGCCGACGCTGCGTGTGGAGGACTGCAGCATCGCTCTGCTCCCGCGTAACCATGAGAAGAATCGCTGCATGGATGTTCTTCCTCCCGACCGATGCCTGCCCTTCCTCATCACCATCGACGGCGAGAGCAGCAACTACATCAACGCCGCGCTCATGGACGTACGGCAATGAAATTATGATTTATACATAATCTGCAAGCTGGATAAATAAGCTTTCCATTGATGTGTGGTGTGTTAGGATAGGACCATATTTGGCCGATACAACTATTAGAAAATCTGGAATCTGAAGGTGCAAAAAAATCTAAACATGAGAAAATCGCCTTTTAAAGTTGTGCATTTCTGTTCGCGATTGTGCTGCATCCACTCATAAAAATATTTTTTTATACATTTATGGTAGGAAATTTAAAAAATATCTTCATGGAACATGATCTTTACTTAATATCCTATTGATTTTTGGCATAAAAGAAAAATCGATCATTTTGACCCATACAATGTATAGTTGGCTATTGCCACAGATACACCCGTGCGACTCGAGACTGGGTTTGTGATCCAGGGTCACATTTCACCTCGAAAGCATAAGGAAAATCATGAATTCTGTCTCAATTAACATTTAACCCTCATTATTTTAAAGGTGACATATTACGCCCCTTTTCACAATATGTAATATAAATCTCTGGTGTTCCCAGAATGTGTGTGAAATAATTTATTATAGCTTGTCAAATTTGTGAGCAAAAATGCGCCGTTTTAGTGTGTGTCCCTTTAAATGCAAATGAGCGTTAGCTCCGCCTCCGTTCAGAAGAGCCCGATTACAGCACTTACACACGGGAAAAGTCAGATTTTCATGATATGTCCCCTTTAATGCAGTTTCAAACAGTAGATCATGGCGCTCGCAACTCCAAGGCCATGGGTTCGATTCTCAGGGAATGTCAATCTCACCTCTCTGTTGTGTTTCTCTCTCAGAGCTACAAGCAGCCGTCGGCGTTCATCGTTACCCAGCATCCTTTGCCGAACACAGTGAAGGATTTCTGGCGGCTGGTTCTGGACTATCACTGCACGTCTATCGTCATGCTGAACGACGTGGATCCCGCTCAGGTCAGTCTGAACGTCTGGAGGATAAACACGCAACATGATTTCCAGAGAATACGGTATGCGTGTCAAAAGCATCTGATTGGTTCACTGTTGTTTTCAACCCAATGGCTGAGTAAATATAGGACATAACACATGTTGGTTTAATTAATGTTTATTTAACCCAGCATACTGGGTTAATTCATTTTTACCATAGTACTACAGTAACTTCTTCTTTTCTTTTTTTACTTCATACATGAATTAATGTTTACGTATCATATCATACGTTTTTTATCATATTTTAGAGTATAGCATATTTTATATAGTTTTGAATACATATTGCATACATTTAAGCTTGTTTAACAAATATTAGAAGTAAAAATGAAAGGTTTAGAAGTAATTCGAGTGTAGTTGACCCGTCTCTGTTGTGGGTTCCTCTGTAACGTCTCTGGATCTCGTGCCGGAGCTTGTGTCGTGTTCAGCGGAGGAACTTATAACTTCAGACCGCCGCCCTGCGTTTCACTCGTAGCAGAAATATGCTGTGACTCCATAACCGGTCCATAAACAATCAGTGTACAGTTATGACAACATATTTTAACATCCTAAGTATTTATATTCTGTATCTTTTTTTTTATTTAATCATAAAATGTTATGCAAGGCATCAGGCGTTTTCATCACGCGAACAGATCGACGCAACACTTGTGACTCACATCGCGCCACTGTATGTTGCTTTGCATAAAATTAAACGATATACAGAACAAAAACGTATTCATAGATCAAATAAAATGTACACAAACCTGTATTTTACTGAAGACACGCACCAATTTGATGGAGCTGCACTTCACTCTCCTGAAGAGGTCCAAAAAGCCCACAATAAATAACTCAATCCCTGGGTTGTAACGTCTGAACTACCCAAACACTTGGTTGTTACGTCTGACCCAGGAGGTGGGTACCACAAAAACTACCCAAACATTGGGTTGTTACGTCTGACCCAGGAGCCGGGTTACACAAAAACTACCCAAACATTGGGTTGTTACGTCTGACCCAGGAGGTGGGTACCACAAAAACTACCCAAACATTGGGTTGTTACGTCTGACCCAGGAGGTGGGTACCACAAAAACTACCCAAACATTGGGTTGTTACGTCTGACCCAGGAGCCGGGTTACACAAAAACTACCCAAACATTGGGTTGTTAGGTCTGACCCAGGATCTGGGTAACACAAAAACTAACCAAACACTGGGTTGTTACGTCTGACCCAGGAGGTGGGTAACACAAAAACTACCCAAACATTGGGTTGTTAGGTCTGACCCAGGAGGTGGGTAACACAAAAACTACCCAAACACTGGGTTGTTACGTCTGACCCAGGAGGTGGGTAACACAAAAACTACCCAAACACTGGGTTGTTACGTCTGACCCAGGAGGTGGGTTACACAAAAACTACCCAAACACTGGGTTGTTACGTCTGACCCAGGAGGTGGGTTACACAAAAACTACCCAAACACTGGGTTGTTACGTCTGACCCAGGAGGTGGGTTACACAAAAACTACCCAAACACTGGGTTGTTACGTCTGACCCAGGAGGTGGGTTACACAAAAACTACCCAAACACTGGGTTGTTACGTCTGACCCAGGATCTGGGTTACACAAAAACTACCCAAACACTGGGTTGTTACGTCTGACCCAGGATCTGGCGAACACAAAATCTACCCAAACATTGGGTTGTTAGGTCTGATCCAGGAGGTGGGTTACACAAAAACTACCCAAACACTGGGTTGTTACGTCTGACCCAGGATCTGGGTTACACAAAAACTACCCAAACACTGGGTTGTTACGTCTGACCCAGGATCTGGGTTACACAAAAACTACCCAAACATTGGGTTGTTACGTCTGACCCAGGATCTGGGTTACACAAAAACTACCCAAACATTGGGTTGTTACGTCTGACCCAGGAGGTGGGTTACACAAAAACTACCGAAACATTGGGTTGTTAGGTCTGATCCAGGAGGTGGGTTACACAAAAACTACCCAAACACTGGGTTGTTACGTCTGACCCAGGATCTGGGTTACACAAAAACTACCCAAACACTGGGTTGTTACGTCTGACCCAGGATCTGGGTTACACAAAAACTACCCAAACATTGGGTTGTTACGTCTGACCCAGGATCTGGGTTACACAAAAACTACCCAAACATTGGGTTGTTACGTCTGACCCAGGAGGTGGGTTACACAAAAACTACCGAAACATTGGGTTGTTAGGTCTGATCCAGGAGGTGGGTTACACAAAAACTACCCAAACACTGGGTTGTTACGTCTGACCCAGGATCTGGGTTACACAAAAACTACCCAAACATTGGGTTGTTACGTCTGACCCAGGATCTGGGTTACACCAAAACTACCCAAACATTGGGTTGTTACGTCTGACCCAGGAGGTGGGTTACACAAAAACTACCGAAACACTGGGTTGTTACGTCTGACCCAGGAGGTGGGTAACACAAAAACTACCGAAACACTGGGTTGTTACGTCTGACCCAGGATCTGGCGAACACAAAATCTACCCAAACATTGGGTTGTTAGGTCTGATCCAAGAGGTGGGTTACACAAAAACTACCCAAACACTGGGTTGTTACGTCTGACCCAGGATCTGGGTTACACAAAAACTACCCAAACATTGGGTTGTTACGTCTGACCCAGGATCTGGGTTACACAAAAACTACCCAAACATTGGGTTGTTACGTCTGACCCAGGAGGTGGGTTACACAAAAACTACCGAAACACTGGGTTGTTACGTCTGACCCAGGAGGTGGGTAACACAAAAACTACCAAAACACTGGGTTGTTACGTCTGACCCAGGATCTGGCGAACACAAAAACTACCGAAACATTGGGTTGTTAGGTCTGATCCAAGAGGTGGGTTACACAAAAACTACCCAAACACTGGGTTGTTAGGTCTGACCCAGGAGGTGGGGAACACAAAATCTACCCAAACATTGGGTTGTTACGTCTGACCCAGGAGGTGGGTAACACAAAAACTACCGAAACACTGGGTTGTTACGTCTGACCCAGGAGGTGGTTAACACAAAAGCTACCCAAACATTGGGTTGTTACGTCTAACCCAGGAGGTGGGTAACACAAAAACTACCCAAACACTGGGTTGTTACGTCTGACCCAGGATCTGGGTAACACAAAAACTACCCAAACATTGAGTTGTTAGTTCTGACCCAGGATCTGGGTAACACAAAAACTACCCAAACACTGGGTTGTTACGTCTGACCCATGAGCTGGTTAACACAAAAACTACCCAAACACTGGGTTGTTACGTCTGACCCATGAGCTGGTTAACACAAAAACTACCGAAACACTGGAAAAATAACCCAAAAAATTTACCCAAAAGGCTCAACCCAGGATTTGGGTAGAAAAAAGAACCCAAGATTTTTTAGAATGAGGAGCAAGGGATGGTGGGCCGTGAGGAAGTATTCTGACAGAATGATAAATAATGAACGGTGACGGGTCGCTCACGGAGGGAAGTGTGTGTGTGTGAGACAGTGATTGAGATTCATGTGTGTGTCTGTAGGGACGGAAGCCTCAGGCTCTGTCAGAACAGCCCCGGATCAAAGCGCATGAGAGTGTAAAGCCCATAAAGCCCTCAGCAAACACACACACACACACACAGATCTGTCTCACACTCATCCTGTGTTTGCTCTTAACTGACCTCAGAGTGATCAGAAGAACCAACATTTCACACACACTCCACATTCAACATGTTTAAGAAGTACAGCATCAAATAATCCAGGCATGGTTTTTACACAAAAGAAACAATCATATTTAATAGTTCTCATTTATGTGCACCAATACGTTGTACAGATATTTACACTAAACATTTTAATGCATGAAAAAACATATGAACAATTATTATTCAGAGATTTGAATCGATTCATTGAAACAGGCAGTTTGAACTGATTCTCTGAAATGAATCAAACTTACCGACTCTTTTTCTGCTGAAGTTCAAATGAAAGACTCTATTCTCTTATTTTCTTTTTTATGCACCGAATAACAAAATCTATTTGTAAACAACATTACCTAATGATATTTATACTTAACATTTTAGTACATTAGGACACATGAACATTAATGACGCAAACAGTTTTTGAATCAGAGTTTTGAATCGATTCATTGAAACAGACACTTTTGAACTGATTCATTGATATCTAATAATTTAGTTTATATGCACCTGTATAACAAAATATTTGTGTGTGTGAGAAGTGGATGTTTTTGCTGAGCAGACACACACACACACACACACACACACACACTTCAAACGCCGAGCGAGACGATGTGTCACACACCACAGATGAACACAAACTCCTTTTCATCACGTATTCCTTCACAAAGCGCTACACAATGGCAGCAAGAGAGTGAGGATAACGGGAGATTTGAATGGATAATAAACGTGAACGGTGTACACACACAAACACACGCACACACTCATACAGGGACACACTCACACACACTCACACTCACACTCAAAGTGTCTGTCAATTCATATTCAATGTTGTTTATAGTGCTGGGAAGATGTGTTTGTGCCTTTTCTGTGCATGTAACCAAAATAATAGAGAAGAGAAGTGCTTACACTGAGTGTGTGTGTGTGTGTGTGTGTGTGTGTGTGTGTGTGTGTGTGTGTGTGTGTGTGTGTGTGTGTGTGTGTGTGTGTGTGTGTAGTTGTGTCCACAGTACTGGCCTGAGAACGGTGTGCATCGGCACGGGCCGCTGCAGGTCGAGTTCGTCTCCGCTGATCTGGAGGAGGACATTATCAGCAGGATCTTCCGCATATACAACGCTGCACGGGTGTGTGACCACCACACACACACACACACAGACACACACACACTCACAGACACACACCCCTTGCACTCACTCACTCACTCACAGACACACACTCACTCACAGACACACACACAGACACACACTCACTCACAGACACACACTCACTCACAGACACACACTCACACTCACTCACTCACTCACAGACACACACACACACACACACACACACAGACACACACTCACTCACAGACACACACTCACACTCACTCACTCACACACACACACACACACACAGACACACACTCACTCACAGACACACACTCACTCACTCACTCACAGACACACACACACGCGTGCGCACACTCACTAACACATACATATACTCACACATACTCACACACACTCACTCACACACACACTGAGCTGAGCTATGTCGACTTCCTGTGTGTCAGTTTATCTGCTTAAAATGTCTGAATCCTCACCTGTAACATCAGATGAACTGATGCAGAATTAACCAGTGACCCAATCCGCGTGACCCCTGACCCCGACCTCTTTGACCCCTGACCCCGATCTGACCTTGACCTCAACACGACCCGCCACATAGTCACCTCTCATTCATCATGACATCAGTGCAGTAATTGTGGAGGACATTATGTTTACCATGATAAACTATTTGTACGCGACACTCCTTCCCACTTCTGACAAAACACTCAACCAATCACAACACACTGCTCCAGCCGACCAATCAGAGCACAGTGTGCTTTTCAGGAGGAGGGGCTTCATAGAGACAGGAAGTAAACAGAGCGTTACTGACAGACTGGGAAGAGAGGAGCCGCAACAATGGAGAATATGAGGAAAATAATCGCGCGTGTGTGTGTGTGTGTGTGTGTGTGTGTGTGTGTGTGTGTGTGTGTGTGTGTGTGTGTGTGTGTGTGTGTGTGTGTGTGTGTGTGTGTGTGTGTGTGTGTGTTCAGCCTCAGGACGGGTACCGGATGGTCCAGCAGTTCCAGTTTCTGGGCTGGCCGATGTACCGGGACACTCCCGTCTCCAAGCGCTCGTTCCTGAAGCTCATCCATCAGGTGGACAAGTGGCAGGAGGAGTACGACGGCGGAGAGGGGCGCACGGTCGTCCACTGTCTGTGAGTGACGTATGAACACACAACAGAGCCGTTCAGAAAGCATCTGATCATAGAGGAGTGGACGTGTTTTGCACATCACGTTTATTTCTACAGTAGATGCTTTAAATCATCAGCTTTACAGTATTAAACATGAAAACCAGCGTCAGCTTCAGTCTCTATTATAAAGCGTCTCTCAGTGTGTTCATGTTCATCTGACCTCGACCGACTGAACACAAGACATGAAGATTTACACCTCGAAGAGGGCGGAGCCTCCGAGCCACGCCTACTTATTACATCACCACACGGACCAATGGGAGTCCACACCCACTTATTACATCATCAACACACGGACCAATGGGAGTCCACACCCACTTATCACATCATCACCACACGGGCCAATGGGAGTCCACACCCACTTATTACATCATCACCACACGGACCAATGGGAGTCCACACCCACTTATTACATCATCACCACACGGACCAATGGGAGTCCACACCCACTTATCACATCATCAACACACGGACCAATGGGAGCTCAGAGGTGTTGACCACCCGGAGTCGGAAAATAAACTCCAAACAAATGTTGTTTTGTCTTGATTTAGTTTGAAATTGCGTTCTTCGATTTCGCTTGAAGTATTCCGTAAACTCGTGAGGCTTCGAGAGCACAACGAATCATACGTTTATGAAGAGAATCTGAGGAGATTGAACCAGTAGATTACTCAACTTTTATGTGACAGAAATTATAGTTAAAAGCCCAAAAATCATATTTTAGCAGAACTGGAGGAAACAATATATAGTAGAATAGCAAAAACAAAAACACACACACACACATCTACTCAAGTTGGTAAAAATCACAATTTTTTATTTTTTTTTATGATGATTTAATTAAATTAATAAGCTTTTTTTTTTTACATGCTCAAGTCATGAGTTAATTAGTTTTATTCTGTTTACTTTTATTTTCTAATTATTTACTTTCACTGTATACGTTTCTGATTTTTGGACCGTAAGCCTGAGGAACGTCGATTGACAACATGAACTAAACTTTTACTCCTGAATAATAAAAGACTGCATTGAAGTGAACACTGTCAGATGAGAACTAAATAATAACTCTATGATCTTCTGTACGGCTGTTTTAAAGCTGAATCTGATGAAGTTTGCATCATCGATTCTGTTTATTACCGTGAAGCTTCTGTAGAAATAGAGAAATGAAGCAGACTCGACTCACTCGATCCACACAATCCCCCATAATGCTCTCTGATCACAGCAGTAACTGCTCATCGATCATCAGTGCTTTCCTTCCTCGTGTCTGAAGGTTTGATGGACTTGATCTGGTGTGAAGAGAAACAGCGCCACCGAGTGGCCGAACACAGACACTGCACTCACATCACATCCACAGGACACTACAACACACACTCCCATTATTAGACTGAGTGCCTTCACCATACAGACTTATTAAAAAACAAAGAAAAAAAGTCTCCTGATTATTTGTTTAAAACAGTGAAATATTATTCCAATGTAAAACAGTTCATATTTAAGTGGAAACTGACACATTTTATTTGTTCAGGATTCTTTGATGAATAGAAAGTTCAAAAGATCAGCATTTATCTGAAATAGAATCTGTTGTAACATTATAAATGTCTTTAATGTCACTTTTGATCATTTTTTTTCTTTCTTACCCCACATTTATGAATGGTAATGCATCATAAAAAATGTGTTCAACACTGATAATAATCATAAATGTGTCTTGAGCATCAGATCATCATGTTAGAGTGATTTCTGAAGGATCATGTGACACTGAAGACTGGAGTAATGATGCTGAAAATCACAGGAATAAATTACACTTTACTGTATATTCACATAGAAAACAGCTGATTTACATTTGATTACAATAATATTTCACATTTTCTACACTATTTTTGATCAAATAAACGCAGCTTTGGTGAGCAGAAGAGACTCTCTCAGAAACATTAAATCATAATTATTCCAAACTTTTAAGCGCTAGTGTATCTGTATTTATATATTTACACAGTCACTCCAGTTATGGTTGCTGTTGTAAAGACGTAATACATTAATATGCGTCTGAAACACAGACTTCGGCACAAACCATGTTTACTGAACTCATGCGGTTCATACACGTTTTTAATATTTAAGATGTTTTAATGTTTTTGAAAGAAGTCTCTTCTGCTCACCAATGCTGATCAAAAATACCTTAAAAATAGTGAAATATTATTGTAATGTAAATCAGCAGTTTTCTATGTGAATATACAGTAAAGTGTAATTTATTCCTGTGATCAAAGCTGTATTTTCAGCATCATTACTCCAGTCTTCAGTGTCACATGATCCTTCAGAAATCACTCTAATATGAGGATCTGATGCTCAAGAAACATTTATGATTATTATCAGTGTTGAACACACTTTCCACAAAAACACTGACATTTTTCTTTATGAGTGTATGAGGTGTTCCTGCACTCAAAAAAAATGCTGGGTTGTTTCAACCCAAAATTGGGTCAAATATGGACAAACCCAAATGTTGGGTTAAAATGTAATTTAGAATTTTAACCCAACTTCAACTTTCACTTTCAACTGTACATTTTTTAATTACATTTTAAACCCAACATTTGGGTTTGTCCATATTTGACCCAATTTTGGGTTGAAACAACCCAGCATTTTTTAGAGTGTGATGAAACGCTGAATTTCAGTGACTCTGATCAGTAATATGTCGTGCGATCTGCTGTGTTCTGACCGCGTGTGTGTGTGTGTGTGTGTGTGTGTGTGTGTGTGTGTGTGTGTGTGTGTGTGTGTGTGTGTGTGTGTGTGTGTGTGTGTGTGTGTGTGTGTGTGTGTGTGTGTCGCAGGAACGGTGGCGGGCGCAGTGGGACGTTCTGTGCCATCAGTATCGTGAGTGAGATGCTTCGACACCAGCGATCCGTCGATGTGTTTCACGCCGTCAAAACACTGCGCAACAACAAGCCCAACATGGTGGACCTTCTGGTACCGCTCCATCTAATGCATCCAGGAATCAATCAAATGAGAACTGATTTAAATATGTTCAACCCAGCTGTAATAGTGATAACCATAACCTCTAACATTAATGACACAGACGGCATCAGGTTTATTAGGATACTGTCACTTTAAGAGCGAATGCACAGATCCAATAGTGATACGGTTAGTTGTTCATGTCACGTCTCACGATACGGTATCACTGCGATACTCCCAGACATATGACATATTAACACAAAATGTACAGTTTATTAAATGGCTAAATTTGGTTTCACATTGTGTGTGTAAATGAATAGACTTGGACTCAGTACTGAAACCCAACGCAGGACAATAGAGACACCAGAATAACAATATTCATGATTCTGAAGCTGAAAATACTGAATTATTTTAGACGAATATGCTTGAACTCTTTCACTGACTAGATATATTTAATATAATGTAGGACATTATTACTGGTAACATCAGACATTTGGCTTTATCAGGACTCACATTACATTATTATATTGTAGTTTAATGTAGTACTGACACTAAAACTCTGTAAACTGGAATTTTTACTCACACAGTAATTATTATTTTGGGTGAATTATACATTATACATTATTGCATTCTTGTATTGCGATATATTGTGACTCGATAATTGTTTTGTTCAGAACTATCGAGTCGCCCTTGTGGAAGTTAAAAAGCTTCTCCAGTGAGATCAGATTCATAAATGTTACTAAAATTTACATTTATATTATGTAAAATTATATTAAAATAGAGTAAACGTGACTAATAGACTTCACCATACTTTCCCCAATCCACTGGTCACATTTACATTCCGGTAACACTTCACAATAAGCTTCATTACTTAACATTAGTTAACTACCTTCAACTAATAATGAACTGCACTTATTAATCTCCTTTCATGTTAATTTCAACATTTACTAATACATTATTAAAAGCTTGTTAACATTAGTTACTGCACTGTGAACTAACATGAACAAACAATGAACAGCTGTATTTTTAATAACTAACATTAAAGGTGCTCTATGTAACTTTTAGCGCCTCTAGTGGTGATGTTTCAGATTGCAACCAAATTTTACAAGAGCGCTCGTGCTCGAACTCATAGACAATACCGTCTATTACGCAAATATCTCGGCGAACACTAGACGGATTCGGCGAGCACCGAGCTCGTTGGGACCATCTAGTCGAGCTGAAAAGAACCATATAAGTTCCATAGTTTTTGGAGGTGTTTTCGCGGAGATATTAGCAGAAAACCATCGGGCGCGCTGCAAAATTGCGGACGCCGGTGACGTCACGATCTCAGAAGAAAATCGCTCGTATCTCCGGAACACAAAGACCCAGTAGAGCTCAAATTCGGGGGAGGAGGTCCCAGGGGAACCCTTGCCCGAACGCTAGAGTGGCGGGCCTCGGGGACGCCCCCCTACCGGATCGCCGTTCGCTGGGACCCCCGATTTCCAACGGCTATAACTCGGGGAGCCGGGTGTGGTGGACCTCGGGGGTGGGCTCGTTCGAAAGGCCCCGTCCAGCACTACGAACGATTCGAGTCTTGGGAATATTGATCAAAGATTGACTGAGATATAAGCCGAAACACGTGCGCCTTTAACCGGACGTAACTCCCTGACCGTCTACAATAGACTGTATATAAGGAGAGAGGCTCGGGAGCGCATGCACGTCACATCCGGTGGATTTCACGGTAAATCCGACCCGGAGACTTCACATAGAAATAGGAATACTGGCCTTCAGAGGTAATAGCAAAACTCGACAAGTGGATCATTGTAATGTGTGATTACAACCCCTTCACACACAGGCAATAAAAAAAGGATTGATTTTAGAAGAAAAGTTACATAGAGCACCTTTAACAAAGATTAATAAATACTGTAACAAATGTATTGCTCATGGTTAGTTCATGTTAATTAACACATTAACTAATGAAGCTTATTGTAAAGTGTACCAAGATTTCCCCAAAGAAAATTTGTATTGAAATTGTATGTTTTGATATGCAAATGAGGCATTAGCTAATTAAATGATGTACTAATTTGCATACATGTACAGAACTTGATCTAATTCCCGTCGTTTCGTCTGTTTCAGGATCAGTACAAGTTCTGCTATGAAGTGGCGCTGGAGTATCTGAACTCAGGCTAACTGCAGTGTGTGTGTGTGTGTGTGTGTGTGTGTACAGTCGGCTTGTATATCTTTAAAATGAAGACTTCATGAAGAGAAGATTCAACAACTCCTGCGTCAGTTTCCCGCTGAATCCAGTCCTACTCTCCAGCGCTTCGATACACACTTCTTATTTCTGTCTGTTTTCCAGCACAAATATACAAACATTCTTAAATCAAGAAACATGGAGAATTGGAGAAGAAGCAAAATGACTGAAGATATTTAAAGTCATCATGATTTCACTTGTCTTCTCTCCTCTATTGTGTCGTATATCGAGGGAATCGCTTCTGGAACAAGAACACATGTGGGCGGGGCTTGATTGTGTCTGTGGGGAGTTGATTGGACGGTTGTGGTTTGCTATTGGCTGATCTCATGTGAGTGACAGGTTATAGCCCCGCCCACATCATCAGAGAAGAGAGAGATGCTGCAATATTCCAAGAACACAATTTCATGATGAAGTGAGTTTGCGATTAAAACAAGAACATATTTGTTCTCGTTTTAAGCACAAACTCACTTTTTTTTTTTTTTTTTTACATTTTTGAATGTTTAGATATTTGTGCTGGAAAACAAGACGTTTAAAAAAAAAAAAAAAAAGTGTTTTATGCTCTTATCCACCAGAATGAAGTGTCGTTTATTCACACACACTAAAGTAATTACAACATTACTGCTGAAATGACAAACGAATGAGAACCTCATGAATATGTCACAGTCTCTAATGAGCCTAATTTGCATATTAATGAGGTGTCTGTGCTGGACAGACTGATCGCGCGAGTGTTTGATGATGAGTGTTACTTTGTCGTGTAAATTGTACAACGTTTAAAACATCGTAACATACAGAGAAATGACATCATCGGCTCATTCTTTACTCGCTTTCCTTTCCGTCTTATTGTTTGCACGTGTTTTTAATATTTTGTTTATACTGTAAATATATGAGGTGTGCTGTGATATTTATTCCAGACAATCATCTTGTACTGGTTCATATTGTACATGATCAAATATATTGTATGGATCAACAAATGTCTGCCTGTTCATCACTTACAATCTTCCATTTCTGATGTTTTATCCATTTTTCAGTCCATTAATAAAAATATAGCTGTTCACGTCAGCTCAGGTCCATTAAATAATATCATCAACAGATACAAATATAGATGTAAATGTAGACATTAACATCAAGTAAGATTAATAATTGCTTTAGAATTATTTTAGTTAACTAATAGAACCTTGTTGTAAAAAGTGTCACTCAAAACTTTATTACATAACAGTCAAAGACTTTCATCAGACAATGATAACAAACATAAAGTTCAAGTTTTGAATGAAGCCCATAACTGCAAAATAGGACAATTATGCTTTGGTTAATCGAAATTTGGCAATTTCTTTTTTTTTAAAAGTCATAATTATTAGATTTAAAAGTGTAAATTGGCTCAAAAAGTCATAATTATTATGACAGTCATTACTTTTTAATGTCATGTCAATTTGGACTTTTTGTCAGAATTTCAACTTTTTAATTTTATAATTATAATTTACATCATAATTTCGATTTCGATGATTTACTAAAGCATGTTTTTTTTTTGTCTTAAGTGATGGAAATAATTATTAGATCAAAATTTTTAAATTAGCACAAGTCACTTAGATTAAAAAGTTGCTAATGTCTTAATAAGTAATAATTATGACATAATGTCAAAATTTCAATTTTTTTAATCTCATAATTATGACTCACATCATAACTTAGATTTATGTCATAATTATGATTTACTAAAGCATGTTTTTTTTGTCCTAAGTGATGGAAATAATGATTAGATATAAAAATTAAAATTAACACAAGTCATTTAGATTAAAAAGTTGCTAATGTCTTAAAAAGTCGTAATTATGACAGTCATAATTTGAATTTTTTTAATCTCATAATTATGACTCACATCATAACTATGATTTATGTCATAATTATGATTTACAAAAGCGTGTTATTTTCTTATGTAAATGCGCTTCCATAGAGGACAGCATGACACTGGAACTCAGAAAGGGTTAAACTTGTTGATGTTGATGAGTGTCAATCATGCTGGTTCTTCTCCAGTCACGGGAACATATGGATTATGATCTGATTCAACAAACACAGATAATCCAAACGAGGAAAGCAGACGACACGGATCCAAACAGGAGGACCAGATAATCCACAGAAGACACGACGAGTTCGAAATCACTATCCCTGCATTAGTTAGAAAGCTTTAAGCACACATATTTTGCATATTTAGCTTATTATTTAAGCATCTCAGACTAAATTTGAAGCAGTTTCTCCTCTTAGAGCTTTAAAAGCTGCAAACTCAGACTGATCTGACTCGGGTTTCTGTATCCCAGACAAGCCAGCACATCCGGTCCAGATCCGGTACGCGTGAGATCCGGATCTGGGCCGACACTATGACGCTGTCTGGGATCTTTTCTAACTGATCCAAGTTTCATTTTTTGTTAAACGGACATTCAAACCTATACGAAAAGTCCCGTAGACTTTCATTTAGGGGGTGAAAACTTTTGTACATAGTTATAATCTATTTACTTTCTGAGCACATTTAATGAAAATTACATTTCCAACTTAAATTGTCATAAATCTTGAATGCTTTAGAGCGACAGACTGAAGTTTTACTCTTTTAAAGACGACACTTGGCAGATTATTGCTGAAGTGGAAATAGTTTTACAAGGGAACTTAAAAAAGTTTTAAAATTGTACATTTATTGTTATGAAAAATGCACAAAAATACTATTTTCAATTTTTATATGAAATATATATTTCAAAAACGCGTTTTACTCTAAAACTGCGAGAAAATCAAAGCACTAAACCTAAGCCAGCTGTGCTCCAGATGTGAGTCTGATCTCTCAGTAAATGATCTTCCAGTGAGATGTTGTTCGGCTGCAGTTCCAAACGCTTCCACTAGAGGAAACTCGTCTCTCATTCATTTCCAATGCGCTCGTTTCTGACCGCGAGGAGCACAAGTGACTATTGCTTACAGGACCGTTTAACCTGTTCACATCATGTCCGTGATTTGTGTGTGTGTGTGTTCACACAGCAAGTGCCAAAACCTTTACCAACTTTCGTACAATTCCGAAGAAGTAAAAAATTCTAAAAAACCAAAACATTATGTGCTAAACCATGATAGAGCCATTTTAGCAATGTGTTAATTTGTGTTAGCAACATGCTAAAAAGTTGAAAATGTGTTAAATAAATCATGCTAGCAATATGTTAATACAAGTTAACTTTGTGGTAAAACTTGTTACCAACATGGTAATCCATGCTAGCAACATGTTAACGTATGTAAGCAACATGCTAGAAATGTGTTAAATCACGCTAACAATATGTTAATCTACGCTAGCTTTGTGGTAAATGATGTTATCAACATGTTAATCCATGCCATCTTTGTGGTAAATCATGTTAAAATGTTAAACATGCTAGCAATAGGCTAAATCATGCTAGCAACATGTTAAATCTTGTTAACAAAACATGTTAACTTATTCTAGCAACATGCTAAAACATGCTAGCAATGTGTTAAATAATGCTAGCTACATGTTAGCAACAACTGTTACAAACCCTGATATGATTGTGTACAGTAGTACATATGAAAGCGCTATATAAATGCCTCAAGCTAATTCATGCTAATAGCATGTTCAATGTTCAAATTGTTGTTGTTTTTTTACGTTCTCTGACTAAAACCTTCAAAATTTCAAGCTTTTCAAAGTTATTTTATACGTTCAGACCTGGCTTTATCAAGCCAACGTCAAAGTACTCCTCTAAATTGTCTCTTGCTGTTTAATAATCATCTGAAACTTTGCAAACTGGCAGCTCCCCGCCAAATGTAATGAAAAGATGTATCTCGAACTCTGTTGTGGAAAATAGCATGTATAAACCAATCAAACAGTTTAATTATCAATTAAAAAGGCATTTATTCCGGTATGATATTACGCTGTAGCCACATTGGACAAAATGGATGGATGTATGATTCGGCTGTGGCGCCATCTACTGGTCAGACGCAGGAATTCATTCGCCGTGTGACTCTCAGTGCATTATGGGATTGAATGAGTGCACTCGATAACGTCCCATGTGGTTTCGGACACCACTACAAATGTCTGTCAGCTCAAATAATGGCATTTTTAGGGGGATATGATTTCGGACACAGGCAAACGGAGACTAATGAGGAACAGGTGTGGATAATGAGTTGTCATGGAAACACACAAGGCAGCTATGGAAACAAAGGCTAACAGGCACCAAAACCCACAGCAAATAAAAAACAGAAACAGCAAGACTAAAGAATATCAAAATAATCGAGGGAAATCGTGACATCTGGAACATGATGAGATGCTTCTCTATATAAACGTTTACATAAACATCTTTTCCATAATGAAAGTGAATGTTGTCAAGATCAAGAAAATAACACACAAAAAGCATCATAACAGCATATCGTTTGTTCACTGCGTGCTTCATCTTCTGAACACGCACACACACACACACGCACACACACACACACACACACACACACACATAAACACACACACATTCTGCTGTTAGATTTGTGTTGTGTGCTCATTAAGTCTGACTGTAATGAGGAAAGCGAGTGTGTGTTTGTAATCAGAGCTTGAGTTTGAGATTCCACAGGGTTAACACTAGTTAAATATAACCTGCAAGAGACTCTGATGGACACACACACTGACACACACACACACACATGGATCAGTTATGTCACTGAAGTCTGGATTAAAACACAAAGTTTTCAGGAAAAAGAGAACATTTTATCTCAAGCATACTTTATATCAAATTAAATGTTATGCATGGGAACGGGAAGTTGTTTGTATTTTACTCTGGCTTTCAACTGTTTAAAAAAAATCCCCTATCTGTCTTATCATAAGGAATATTATGTCATTATACTATTACTTCTAGTTAAATGTAGTAAATATAGGGAGGAAAAGCCCTTGTTTGAAACATGAGAAGGCTGTAAAAAAAATAATACTATTTGTAAACATTTTAATGTTTTAGCTATCTTTTTGTTTTTATTCCTTTATTTTTAATATTAATTGTTAATTTGTAACATTATTATTATTTTTAGTTAAATTTAGTATATGTAAATATGTAAACATTGTGATGTTATATTTAAGTTTATTTCTATCTTTTGATTTTATTCCTTTATTTTTTATAATAATATCAATTGATAATTAACTGTAACATTATTATTATTTTTTTTATTTAACAAAAAGTAAAAACTGCGCGCGCCCGGTCCGAGGGGAGTGTTGCTGGAGACCGGCGAGCGCGTTCACGGTTCTGCGCATGCGCGTTTCAACGAGGGGAGGGAGGTAAACAAGATGGCGGCAGCCTTGAAGCAGCAGCAGCGGTGAAGAACAGACGCGAGAAAATACACGAATAAAGAGCAGAACAGGAATATAAGCTTGAGTTCCAGACCGTCGTCGAGCTGTGCTGATGAGAGCAGCTTCAGGTCAGTGTGTTTGAAGAGCTTGTTCTCTGTCAGCGGTGTGTGTTAGCCGCAACCGCTAACCGCTATTGATAAAACACTCGTTTCCATCGACACAAACATCGCGTTTGTCACTCAAATCCCTCACATTACACGTCAGATAACACGCATTAGCTCAGCACGACGCGCGAGTGTGTGTGTGCGAAGCTGCGTGCTGTGATCGATTATCCGCATTACACGATCAGATATGATCGATCGATCAATCATCAAACATCTGAGGTTTCATTCTCTTCATATCGTGTCAGTTTCAAAGACCATTTCCGCAACATAAGGAAAAACCATGCTTTAAATCAGAATTATAAAAAGAATTTTGACTTTTAATATGTCATAACGATGATTTAGTGTCATAAATCTCGACGTTTTTATGTCATAGCTATGACCCAAAAATCAAAATTATGACTCGGTAAGCTATAGTTATGCCTTAATATGTAATGATTTCGAGTTTTTATCTCATAAATATGACTTAGTATGTCATAATTTCGACTTTATCTCATGTGTTCAACTTTTTATGAAACAAAATGACTTTTTATCTTATAATTAATATATTCCAAAGCACATTTTGTTCTTTTATGTGGACTTCAATGCAGTCCTGACTGCGTTTGGTGGATGTTATTTCTGCATTGTGTGTTTATTTATTTATCTCTTTTTTTATTATTATTTACTCGATCAAAACAGTACTATGGTGCATATGGCGTCAGACAGTAATTCTGTATGATTATCATGATGATGTTCATATACTGTTTACATGATACTCCAATGAATGCTATTGCATTACTATAGTAGCAGTTGTCAGTGTAATATAATATATAATATAATATAATTAAGGGATTTTCAATCTTGTAAATGCCATGGAGAACCCAAAACCCCTAAAATTCAAAATAACCCCTATTATAATTATGGATAAAATGAGTATTTAGTTTCTTTTACATTTACGTTATTAGGCTACTTTTTTACACACTATTATTCTGTACTGTTCGAGGTATTATTTTAATCAAATTTGATATAATCTAATCAGTTTATTTAAATTAAATCAGTTATTTTTATTAGTTATTTTATTCATTATTTAAATCAAGGGTTATGCATTTAATTATTATTTAAATCAAAATGTATGTATTGTAATCAAATTTAGGCTAGTTATTTAATCTTTTCTTCATTATTTATGTATTTGTACTGTGTTTTTCCACTCCCTCGCGAACCCCAGTTTGGAATATAATTAATATGCGTGTCAGAAAATGTGCTTGTGTTTTACAATATAAGATGGAAATGAAAATTACTCTCCTTCAAGCCATCCCGTGTTTATATGTCTCTTCTTCCAGCCAAACACACTCATACTCATATTAAACGATGGCTCTTCCACGCCTGATATCTATATTTTCGACACGCGTGTGTGAATCCGAGTGGCTGTATGAAGATATTGTTAAACATTGAGGCCTGTTTCATCATAAGCAGATTGTCATCATGAGGGCCTTTGATTAATCTTGCGTCTTATTTCTCTTTCTTCTAGGTCTTTATTTAGGATCTTGGACTCGGATTTCCCGTCATGCTGAAGTGAAATCCCTAATCCTGCTTCCGGAGCCGTGTTTCCCATCGGCCTGATTCGATTCGTCATGTTCACGCAGAGATGTCCATAGATCCAGACGTCGGATAATTAAACCCCGTGACTATAAAACACACTGTTTACGTTCCAGAGCTTTCGCGATGCTGCGGTTTAACAGGCGTGTGATGTTATTCGACTGACCGGTCTTCCCCGATCAGAACTGCTCCTCCGTTGCACCGGAATACACACATTCCCGACGACGGGCGATTGGGAGAGAGAGGATGAGCCTGGGCGGAGAGCTCCAGCATCTGGAGTACCTGACGGAGAACGAGCTCATGGGGATGGACACCTTCATCCACCGCATCGACTCCACCGACGTCATCTACCAGCCGCGGCGCAAGCGCGCTAAGCTAATCGGGAAGTACCTGATGGGAGATCTGCTCGGGGAGGGGTCGTACGGGAAGGTGAAGGAGATGTTGGACTCCGAGACTCTGTGTCGCAGAGCCGTTAAGATCCTGAAGAAGAAGAAACTCAGGAGGATTCCCAACGGAGAGGCCAACGTGAAGAAGTAAGAGCCGCTTCCTTTCTTGCTTTATCTTGAAGTTGTGTGAATTAAAGGCCCGTTCACACCAAGTTTGATCCAGTTCTGATCTCGATTCAGTTTTAGGGCTGGGCGATATGGCCAACATATCATATCTCGGTATTTTTTGGTTAAATGGTGATATCGGCACTTTCTACATTTTTCTATTTGGATAAAGAAAATCTGAATTTATTTAAAGAAAAGAATGTTATTTCACATCCTGCCCAATGATATCCTACAAACAATGTTGATATTGAAGGATATGGAAACAATTATAGTGAATGTAATGTAGGCTGTGCAATTTATTATGTGCTAAAAGGTGGTTAAAATCACGTCACATTGTAACATTACAATCTAAAACCAAAAATAATGCTTTTTTTTTTTTTTTTGACTAAAGGTTAAACTAAAAAATAAAAACAAATGCACAAACTAATTCTATTAGCCTGCGTTTGATAACCCCAAAAACATAGCCTACTTGTAGGTTTAAAATTAAAGGCCCGTTCACACCAAGTTTGCTCCAGTTCTGATCTCGAATCAGTTTGATATTGCTTACATGAGATTTGATTGATTTCAGTAAGTTGTTCTGTATCTTTCAACATACCTTCTGATGTTCATCCATGTTTGTTTGCTGCTGTAACTAGTAGTAAATCGGAAGAGATGATCGGTTCAACAACGAACTAAGACGCATTAAAGAGGCACTAAAACATTTTAGAGATGCACTGATATGAACATTTTGGCCGATACATTTGTGTATTTCTGTCAGATCAACAGAGGGTTATTAAAGTCACCCTGTAGTCAATAATTTTATCCCTTAAAACTCATCTTCACCAAAATGACCTTAAAATATCTTGAATGTAACTCGACACCCTTGCCTTATTCAGTATGTGCGGTTCTATGAATATGCAAATGAGCCCCGCCTCCATTGCGAATCGATATTGTGTTTTTTTTTAAGAATTGCAATTCTACAAGTATTGCGATTCGGTATTGCAATATATTGCGGGTTTTTTTAAGAATTGCAATTTTACAAGTATTTCGATTCGATTGCGAATTATTATTTTTTTACAAACACGACTAGACCATGGGGAAAAGTTAAATCATACACTTATACAGACTGTACATGATGTGTAAGATGAGTCATATTTACAAAAACAATTCATCTGAGTTTTATTTCAGAAGCCTCATACAGTCCTACATTCTCTTTAATAAATGATTCAATAACAAATACATTTTTTAACATTCACTTCTTGTCGCCGCCTAGTGGCGAAACAATGTAATCGATAAATACGCTATTTTAAGCGCCAAGTTTCTATCAAAAGCTGATTTACTCTATTTTGATCGCTACTGTAGACATCAGTGTTTATATTCGAACTGTAAACTTTTATCCCAGGACTTCTATGATGATGTGAACAATTGCAGCGCAGAAATAACGAGACTATGATGTTGAAAAGCGGTTTCATGATGATGTTTTCCTACATATTTGGCACGAGGGAAGACAACAGCCTTTAGTTTCTCTAGTCAGACTTCGTTAACGTCAACCAATAGTCAAGCAGCTTTAGTCATTTTAATGCTTCGTTGACAACAGTTGGTAAACCGTGAGAAAATCTACAATTGTTTTTTTCTTCCCTTTTTGAGCGTTCGTATTGCGTCACATGACAGAAGTGGAATGACTTGTGGATTATGTTGACTTTAATTCACTTTAGAAATGCCTCGTCTTTAGGCGGTGTTCGTTCTGTTCCTCCTGTGCTCTGAAATATCATCTTCCTGCAGTTTAATCACACAGAGCAGTTAAATTAATTAAAATGATGTGCAGTGAAGCCTTGGGCTTCTGCTTTAAATAGACCAGAGCTTTTGGACCGGCTTCAAACCCTCGCATGCCAGGACACGTGTGTTTGGGCTTTTGGTTGGATCTTGAAAGGAAGTGTGTTGTGCGATTAGTCCTCGTGTGTTCGCCGTGAGAGACACCCTTATAAGGCGGCGTCCTATCTGGAAAAAACTCATTAATTATTGATTTAAAACACGCTACGCAACTCGCAAAGATGAATCACACGGGACGCTGTGAAAACCTTCAGAATACACAGTCCAACCAACAACCTTCAACATCATCAGTTTATTCACTAAACTTTAGAAAATGGTAATAATGTGAGAAGAACTCAGTGGATATTTGACTGGTTTTGTCCGTCCTTCTGTTAGACTCTCACACATGAATTATGTTGAATATCTGTCAGCTGTTAAATTTAACTACACAATTAGATAATACCAGTTTAGCTCAACCAGTGACCAAGCAATGCTAACGTTTAGGGACGCACGATATGAACTGATAATTAAGTCCTTCTCATTACCGATAACCAATCAGTTCAAGCACTGATGAAACTGATATTTTAGTAGCTTTGGCCAAACTATGATAGCAAACATCAGTCCGGAGTCTTCAAAAGTTTGTATTTTTTGTGCAAGGCACCACAATAGTTAGTAACAGATCTATGGTTTATCTGCTCTTCGGCTAGCAACTCATTAACAACTAATTTATATTTAAGTATTTCATGTATAACAAAGAAATGCGTGTATTTAACCTTTAGTGCATGAGGATGAGGAAGGTATGACATGTTTTTCAAATACATAATAAATAAAATACATTTGTCAACCTCGAGAAAAACAAAAGTGCATAGGGCATAGTTGAGATTTCTCTGAAATTAGGCCATCCTTAAAAATATTCTTGTTTGCCGTAACCCGACCGACCCTGTCAATTTAGGACCGACCCAATTTTTTATTTTTTTTCCCTTTTAGTCCGACCGACTTGCCGGTTGTAAACTTGCATTAAGACCGTCCGATTTTTTTACTCTTCAAACAACTAATACAAATGCAATAAAATATAAATTATATTATAGTAAGTATTGTGAATATAAATTGCATAGGCTACGTTCTTTCTTTTAAATAAAAACCCGTGGCGTCATCTATTATGATTGTTTACACCATTGGTTTACGCATGTCACACTATGGCCTGCGTTCGCTTCGTTTCATTCACGGTCAATGGTTCGCGCTCGGTGATGATGGCTGCGGCGCGGCTGCTTGGGAAATACGTCTGTATGAGCCTACATTTAGGCGCTCATTATTAATAACAAATAGGAGAATAGGGAATCGATGTTAACGGCCTTTTCTCGGAGCGCGTCCAGCTCGTCACGACATGCCCACCGCGAACGCGCGTCACACACCAACTGCAGGCTCTGACAAACACACACACATAAGTGTGGGAAGCCAAACACACCGAAAGGGGGACAAACGGCGCGGTGTGTTACAGAGTTCGCGCTGCGCTGACTTGTAATCTGTGTGGCTCAATGGACCGAGACGCGCGAGCGCGACAGACTCGACAGCGCAGGAGAAGTGTTTGCTTGCGGCAGCCAATGGTCAGAGCGGCGGGAACTAATCTAACCAGCGCCGCGCTGACCAATAAAACAGCACATCCCAGACCGAAATGTACTAAATTTCACTAAAGAAAATCGACCATTCCATAATATGTCAGGACTACTTAATCGGCCTATAGTTTCCTACAATGCGCCTAGCCATTTGACCACACTGATTTCCGTTAATAATAGCAGATGTTTATGGGTCCAATTTAAACGAATAGTGCCAAATGCGCTGTTTTATTGGTCGGCACGGCGCTGGTGAGATTAGTCATTTTAATTTATTTGTTTCCCTCTGAAAATCCACTCTTTTTCCCCAAATGAATGCAGCTGGAATTAATGCAATAAACATGTTTTTTGACAAAGATTTCGAATTGTTTGTTGTCTATAACCTGTATCAGAATGAGATTCGCAATGGTGCGCCCAAAGGCATGGGTTGAAGACCCAGTCAGTGGCGCCACGATATGCAAATTTGTTTAAATTCATACCGACGTAATCACCATGACCAAAATTGTCCTTTTTTTTTTTTAATTGAATTTTGAAAAAAAAAAAATATATAGACCTACCTACCGACCCTTTATTTTATTTTTTTTGCTGTTACTGCAAACCTAAATACTTTTAAGGATGGCCTTATATAGTTTGACATAAAAAAATTAATAATAAACTTCCAATTTTGCACGACTCAACATCTTACCCTCTTCCAACGCTGCAAAAAATGCTTTTCTTAGTATTTTTTATCTTGTTTCCAGTACAAATATCAAAAAATTATTTAATCAAGAAAGATGCACTTACTAGATGAGTAAAAAAAATGCCATTAGATATTATGTCCTGTTTTCCGGGGGGAATTTAATTAAAATTAAGTGAGTTTTGGCTTAAAACAAGCTAAATGATCTGCCAATGGGGTCAGAAAAATGTTTATTCAAAGAGGAACAAGATTATTTTTCTGACCCCATTGGCAGATCATTTAGCTTGTTTTAAGCCAAAACTCATGTAATTATTTATTTCCCCAGAAAACAAGACTTAATATCTTATGGCATTTTTCTGCTTCAGTAAATGCATCTTGATTTAAGAAATGTTTGATATTTGGACTGGACATTTAAGACATTTCATAAATTCTAATATGTGCAGTTTCATGCTACAGACAGAAAGTGTGTGTGTGTGTGTGTGTGTGTGTGTGTGTGTGTGTGTGTGTGTGTGTGTGTGTGTGTGTGTGTGTGTGTGTGTGAGAGAGAGTGAGTGAGTGAGTGTAACATTTTATTAACATGATGATAACATTTATTTCTGTCTGTTGTTGACGGTATATTCCGATTCATATCCAAAATCCCCTTTAATATGTCAACAAAAATCAAATGAGAGTTTTGAACCTGACTTTATCCAATGTTCAGATTTCTGTTCTGGAAATGTATGCAAATTAGTGCACGCATATTTAATTAAATAATGCCAGACAAAACTTTTCGGAAGACTCGTAATACACAAAAAAATTGCAATTCATAATGGATAACTATGGTTATATCTGTTAGTAAATGTGTTTACCGTGTTCACCTGTGTCTTGCTATTACTAGCCATTTCTGGCTGAAGATAACCGTTCCAGTC